CCTGGTTCATTAATATCTCTACATAATTTAATATATGTGTTTAAATCTTCATGTCTCCATGGTCTAATAACCTCTCTGCAGCAACGATTTCCTTGGTCATAAGCCAGTTGTTTTATTAATGGCTTGTTCTGTATCCCCAAAAATTCTGGCAGCTGTTTGAATAAGACTATCTACAAAGTCAGTGTAAGGTTCATTAGCTCTCTGTATTACCTTAGATAGCTGACCTTATAAATCTCCATGTCCTTGTAAAGTCTTCCATGCCCTAACTGCGTCTGCAGCAATTGTGCGTATATAGCAGGATCATATTCAATTTGTTGCCGTTGACCCTCATAAGGTCCTTTTCCTAACAACATATCTAAATTTCTTTGAGGGTAACCGGCTGCTGCATTTCGCCTAGCTGTCTCCATGCAAAATTCCTCATTGGCAACCTTCCATAACAAATATTGTCCTCCATTTAGCACAGATTTACACATGCTAGCCCAGTCTGCTGGCGTCATGTCCAAGTTAGTAATGAACTCGACCATGTTTACCGTGAAGGGAGCTTGGGGACCATAGGTTGTTACAGCCTCCTTTAACTGCTTCACTGTTTAAAAATATAAAGCACGGTGAATTCGCTGTCCTCCTACCTGTTCAAGTACAGGGCATGCTAATCTTTGAGGTCCTGTATCAGGATTCCATTTGTCAACTACGGGGTTTGAGGGCCACTCAGCTGTCTCCATCGGTGGGGCTGTTGGTTGAATTATGCCCTCTGGTGATAAAACGGAGTTAGTAACAGCCTCCTGTTGTGGCTTTTTTCCTAATAACCCCTTTTCCTTTAAATTTTCTTCCTCTGTCTGACTAGCTCGAGAGACCTTCTCTTTTGCTTGATCTAAAATGTCTTTCTCCATGGTCTGAACCTCTAACAATTTACTTAACACCTTTTCGGTTTGTTTTTTTACTAATTTCTAATCTACTATAAAGATAACGCAACCCAATAAGATAACACAAAACAAAACCAAAACTGAATGAAACAAAACGGAATAAAAAATTGTTGTATCAATTTTCTCTTCCTCAGGGCCGACAAACTTCAAACCTTGAGCCAATCATTTTTCCCAGTTTGCCTGAGAAATTTCCAGGGACAGGCAACTTGAAATAAAAACAAAGTAGATCAAAACAAGAACACATTGTTTTTTGAAATGGTCACCCATTCTCTCGCCTTCCCTCAAGGGCGAGCAATTTCACTTACCTCCAAGCTTTAGACGTTCCGCGTACAGGCCACCAAATGCCGCAGTCTGGCTGGGCACAAAATCACGAGCCACTCACAGCTTTGTAGATTCAAACAGCAATTCTTTATTCCTGAACTCACACCGGCCCTCTACAATCACGCTCTGGGGAAAAATTCACGTTCTGGGCAAAATCCACTACTCCACCAGGCTCTAATCAGCAGGATAGCCTTATTCCCGGCAGGGTACACCTTAAACCTGGAACCGCCCTAAACCCAAGGACGGGATACTCCCTAAAACCTGATCCACCCTAAACCCGGATCCACCCTGGTCCTTGAGCAAGGTCACCTTACTCAAGCATACATGCAATGTCACTGCAAATGTCCAAGACAAGTCCATTTCCATGAGTCCTTCCTCAAAGCAACGTGGGGTACGCTGACAAGAAAATTGTCATACCTACTTGGCTAATGGCTCTCAGCAGGTATGGGGTTTCTTTTAAGAATGAAATTGTTCTCTAATTATTATGATAGAAGTCTAATCTGTGAATATACTAAAGACCACCGAATTGTACATTTTTAAATGGGACAATGTTTATTTCAGTGTTTATCTCAGTGTTAGTTACGTCTCAAAAAATTGTTTTTAAAGAATGGTAAGAGGGCTGGGGATGTGGCTCAAGTGGTAGCACGCTCGCCTGGCATGTGTGCAGCCCGGGTTCGATCCTCAGCATTACATACCAATAAAGATGTTGTGTCCACCAAGAACTAAAAAAATAAATATTAAAAAAATTCTCTCTCTCTCTCTCTCTCTCTCTCCTCTCTCACTCTCTCTTTAAAAAAAAAAAAGAATGGTAAGAAACATGCTTAAATAAAGGAGAAAAAATCCCAAAATAACCCATCAGAGAGTCCCCTGGGCCTCCATGGCCCAGTCTTTCTGGTTGCTTGAGGTTGGCTCCACCAGTACAGGGTCTGCACCAGTACAGGGTCCTGGGCTTGACAGTCTCCAGGCAGCCACAGGGGCAGGGCTATCTAGTCCTGGGAGCCACACATGCAACATTTCCAGCCCATTAATAGATTCATGGGAGTCACATTGATAGCTCCTCAATACTAGGCAGGATCTCATGGCAAATTGGAGTAAGTGGCCTCCCAAGGTCCCCAGGTGAGGAATGGAGTCCAAGGTCCCCAGGTGAGGAATTGAGACACACCATGGGCCTGTTATGTAAGGGTTTCCAAATTTAGCTCTTCACTATAAACTGTGCTGACCTTTTCTGGTAATTTCAGTACTAATGACCTCAGACTTTCGGGTTGATGGCAAATCTTGTAAGGCATTCAGTTGACTGTTGCCACTGAGAAAGACCCTCCCACAGGGATTTAGGAGATGCAGATTTGCTAGAGACATCTGTACAGTCTGGAGCGCTGGAGGAGGGTACACCCCTTGGACTTCTGTTGTGGAAGTCTTCACAGCAAACCATCCAGGCCTGTCACCCTCCACAGACTCTTCTCCTTGATCAGGGAGGCTGAGAGGAAGAATCACACCGTGCACCTGGATTCTGTGAGGAGTTGGACCACACTTGTCTCCCACTTAACCATTCTGGAATCTGGAATCGGGATCCAAAATCACGGATTTACTTTAGACTGGAGACGCAATCTGGTCTTGTCGACTTGGGGAACACAGTTGGGGACTCGATTTTGAAAGGAGTTAGATCTGTTTTTATAGCAGCCTTTCTCAAGCAATACCCAACCTCTCAAATGTACCCATCTATATCCTTGGAGCTACGTTTTGGGAATCATTTTTTAAAGGAACTGAAAAGCCATCCGTGTTCATAGCAAGCACCCTGGAGTAACACCGGGTGGCGCGGATTTACTTACAACGCGATGCAACACTGAGGTCTTGCTGAGCAGGGGCCGGCTTTGCGATGGAATCTTCCAAGAGTCAGAGCTACGGTCCTGCAGGAACCATGCTGGACTCGCGCCCCCCAAGCGCTCCAGACATTTGGTACCTGCTGGAAAATGCGGGAGCTGGGGACACAGCTGGCGCCGCGAAGAGTTACTTCGACTGTGGAGTCACTCAACGGGGTTGAGCGAGACGTTCCGTTCCGGGCAGTCCCTGCGCAGAGCCCGAGCATGAGCCCAAGCCCCGGGCCGAGCCCCATCTGCACCTACTCCCTTGAGAGAGGGCTGTTGGAAACTGGAGGCCGTTGGAGTGCCACGGTTGGAAGTCTCTTGCTAATTTTGTTTTAGAGTCTTGAAGTCTTTTGTTATGGTACATGGGATCCCCTACCCCCACCCCGGTTTCCTAATTCCTGGATTGAAGAAGTGCAATTGATTTTTATTGATTCAACGACTCGTTTTCTGTGTGGTTAACATCATCCTTGCTGCTCCTTATGCCCCTTTGTCTTTTACTTGTTTTACTGCATCTATTAGGACCTCCCCCCAGATATGGAATACAGTGATAGGGGACACCCCACCATATTCCCGATTGCAAAGACTTGCTTCTAAATATCTTTTAGAAAGACTTGCTATGTCATCTTTTTATAAAATCACAAATATTTTGAATATTATCAAAATTCACAAAATGTGAAGGTAACCTTGAATTCCTGAAGTAGCCAATTGTGATGTGATTTGTGTGTGTGTATGCTGCTGGGGTCAAACTTGGCTTCTGCTGGCCAGGCACGCGCTGGACGTCGGAGCTACATTCCCAGCCCTGATTTCGGATGTCATGAATATTTCCTGGATTCAGTTTGCCAATCAATATTTTGCCTAGAACTTTTTGCATTATTGTTCATGTATGGAGAGGGCTATTCTTTTATCTTACTCTCAGTATCTTAATTGTGGCATCAAAATGATTGTATCATGAGAGTTGTTTCCTTTTCCTACAGTCTGAAAAGCTGTACAACTTCCAACTTTGTTGCAGGTTCCTGTGGCTGACCTGTGAAACCTCCTGGGTCTGGTGTCTTTTTTATGAGGAGTTTTCTTTCACCACTTCCTTTTGAGTCTTCTGTTAGAGATACTTCTGCCTTCTTCGGTGTGTTCTTCCTAATTTCTTTGTGCTGATACTACACTGCTCGTTATGTTTCAGACTTGTTTTCGACGTTAACCATTAAAAGAAAATGAAACATTTTCCTTAGGAAGATTTTTTCCCCAAGTTATTATTGTCCCATAAGCATGAACAATGACAGTTGTAAAACCACTATGTGGGTCATTTGATACTACTTTTTTGGTATTTTAGATTCTTTTAATTTAAAAATAAATTTTTAAAATATTTTCTTAGTTGTCTATGGATCTTTATTTTGAGAAAAATATTCTTTAACTGTTGGGTAAAGATTTCTAAAGATATCTTAAATAAAAAAGAAATAGAAACTGGGTGCAGTGGTGCCTGCCTGTTATTCCAGTGGCTCAGGAGGCTGAGGCAGGAGGATTGCAAGTTCAAAGCCAGCCTCAGCAACTTAGGGAGGCCCTAAGCTACTTAGTAAGACTGCCTCAAAAAAGGGTAGGTGGGGAGAGCTGGGGATGTGGTTCAGTGGATAACTGCCCCTGGGTTCAATCCCTGGTACCAAAAAATAGAAAGATTGACTAGATAAATAGTAATGCAAGAAGCTGAACTGGTAATCACTCAGAAGAAAGATACCAAAAGCTAGCAGCAGGATGCAAAACCACAGGGTTGCATTCTTCTGCATTTAGGAGGCCTGACAAGTTTTTCTTTCTTTAAAATCAACCAACCAACCAGAAACTGTTCATAAAGCTATCAGCACTCAAAATTGAAACAAGGGAAAGAAAGCTACAACATGGTTTTTGGTAAAAATGATTTGACTTATAAATTTATTTGATCATATTTAAAAAAGCAGGGCAGAATCACATTCTTTCTCTTAATGGTACCACTGTAAGCATACTCGACTTCAGAGCCCTTGGTTTGCTCAGAAATGTCTGGAGAGTCGACCACCAGCAGCCTGGCAAGTCTTTCCTTTCTCTCCTGTCCTTTTGGGAAACAGTTTGGTGACACCTGATGCTGGCCAAAGACCAGGTGGTTGAGCTTGCCAAACCCTGCCCGCCTCCTCCCACAGGCAGCAAGTGGCTTAGCTTATTCTCTATGTAAAATTCTGAGTAAGTGGAAGGTTAAACCAAGAATGGAAGGAAATTTCCATTGTAGATAATCCCCAAATATAGGAATGGGTGATCTCGATTTAACTGTCCAGTCCCTGCTTTTGCTGACCAGAGAGCGAAATGTTAGCAATGGATCTCTGATCCATTAATCACCAGTGTAATGTGATCAGTTTCCTGGATTAGAACATTCTGGAAAAGCCATCTCTGGATAGGGAAGAAATTACTTTATTATAATGATGGTACTATTAAAAAAAATCAAAGCAGCACACAGCAGGCAGAGTCCCCGGCCTCTTGAACTCCTGCTGTCATTCCACTCCTACCAGCTTTATAGTCCAAGCAGACGCCATTGGGAGAGCAGAGGGCAGCAACAGGGGCAGAGAGATGAGGAGACCTTCGTCCTGGCGTTCGACCCATTTCAGATCCCCCTGGATTCCGAGCATTGATATCTGCAGGAAGCAAAAGGGAATGGGAAACCCAGTGATGCCCTTGCCCGCACAGACTATGGCCTGAGTGTGGCCGGCAGTGCCATGCTGGCTCGGGGCAGGGAAGACCTCTGACGGGCATGGATACAGGAGGAACCTGAAGAATACAGGAGGTGGAGAAAAGGCCTGCCGGTTCCTTTAGAAAAAGGTACATCTTAGAAAGGACTGAGTGGGCTCTTACTTTTGTATTTGGTGTAGTTACGGGGGATACGATGTTTAAGATTCCATTTTCTGGCCAACGTAAAAAAATGGCATAAACAGCTAATTCTTGTGAGGTATACCTGGGACGAAAAGAGATATCATTGTCAAAGATACCTGTTTTATCACCTGGATAATCTTATGAATTCTGCTTTCAACTGCTTACCAGATCCAAGACCTTGACTCTCACTTCTTCTAAGAAGCACCAATAATGCAAAACAAATTAAGGGCTGCAGGAAGGCAGCAGTCTATAAAACTCTTTTGATTATCTTTTCCCCCCTCTACTAGATTGTATATATATTAGTTTTAAGTGGACACAATATCTTTATTTTATTTTTTATGTAGTGCTGAGGATCGAACCCAGTGCCTCATGCATGCTAGGCGAGCGCTCTACCACTAAGCCACAACCCCAGCCCTTGAATTTTATTTTTATTGATCTCTTACACTAGTGGTTTTACATTGAAGCCATTTATTTTCAAATCTTTTTTTTTCAACTCCAAATTCATGAGAAAATAGGGAATAGAGCAAGGGCAAGGTTTGCAATGAAGATGAGTTTGTTGTCCTGAGATTTCAATATGTTTAGGGAAGAGGGTGAAAATCACTAAATAGAAAAACTCAACCAAACAGAAGGAACAGTGTGTTTCCCCTGACCTGAAGACCCAAGCTCTTTGGCTCTTTGGTACGCATCAGAGGTTATGTTTTTTTGAACACTTATAGTTTGCTGGGTGCTTTATACATATTAGCTCATTTAGTCTTAAAAATAATTTTTTTTTTTGGTACTAAGGATTGAATCCAGGGGTGCTTTACCACTGAATCACATTCCCAGCCCTTTTTATTTTTTCCTTTGAGACAGGGTCTCACTAAGTTGTTGAGGGCCTTGTTAAGTTGCTGAGGCTGGCCTCGAACTTGCAATCCTACTGCCTCAGCCTCTGAATCTCTGGGATTACAGGTGTGCTCCTTTACACCCAGCTAGTCTTCAAACAACTCTACAAAGGTAAGTATCATCACTCCCTTTTGCAGTTGAAAACACCAAGGCTAAGATCAAATCACTAGCCTCTGAAGTCCAAGTATGCATGGAAACAATTTAGAATGGAGCCCTGTGCATGCAGGTGTTCTATGAGCATCAACTAGTTCGATTTTAGAAGGCAGGGTCTTCTGATATGGACATGTGATGTCCCCCAAAACCTGTGTTAATACAAGAATGTTTAGCAGTGGAATGATTAGATTATGAGAGCTGTGACCCAATCAGTGGAGTGCTCCATTTGCTGGATTAGTAACGCGATGGACTACTGGTGGTAACTACAGGTCCCTGGGGGCACGTCTTTGGGGTCTGGACTGAAACTCTGAAACCATGAGCCAAACTACACTTTTCCTTCTCTAAGTTGTTACTGTCAGGTATTCTGGTCACAGCAACAAAAAGCTGACTAACACACAGGGCGAGAATCACAACCAAACTGACCAATGCACTGTGGCTCCTTCCTGTCTGCCAGACCCCACCTGCCTCCCCAGCCTGCCATCCTGGGGTACTAAGACATAACCCAACTGGGTCACAGAGTGTACTGTACTCAGGAGCCGCTGGTTTCCTCACGACCACTTCTAGCCTGGCAGGTCACCGTGGACTGGGCCACAGCCTGTTCCTGTGCGCAGCACAAGATGAGACTTACCACACAGAGGCGTTCTTTTCGAATTGCACCCGCCAAGGTTTGGAGGAATAGATGGCCTCCCCGTTGACATTCATCCACCTGCCAACAGAAAGGAGCCTTTCTTGGAAGATGGGGTCGATCAATCCATCTTTGGTTGGTGCGATGTTGAGAAGATAGTTGCCTCCCAAACTCACAGTCTGAACCAGTTCCTAAAGAAGGACATGATGAAACCCTGGCTTAATGCTTAGAATACACACCGAGCCAGAGAAGAAGACGCGAGGGCACCTCCTTCCTGCCTTGCAAATATCCCTGAACATTTAAAAATCATTCATATTTTTGTTGTTATAGAAGCAGGACGGGCTCACATGAGAAAACAAAGATCCTGCTGTAACATGGAGAACATGTTAACTGAATTCAAGGGCGAGGTCACAGGCTCTTCCCGTGAGACTGCGCTCTCATGGTGCCGGGCACAGCGGGAAGGGTTGGGTCTAGTAGCACAAGGAGAGAGTGGGGCAGGAGAGGAGAACACTCTGCAGTGGCCCGATCCACAGGAGTGTGGAAAGACAGACAGACTGACAGGGAATACAGGGGTCAGACAGGAGAGATTCTGAATGGCTGCTGTGGACACTGGGCTAAGAGACATGCAAGGGACTTCAGGATGTTCATCATGTGGGCCAGAGGGTACCCCTTTGGGAGGACTGCTGTAAAGAGAGGTAGTCCGCGAGGCTCCTGCACTGGGGCCTGTGTGTGTATTCACTCTGACCTCAAGCAAGTGCCCTTCAAGGTTACAGAAAGACTTGGGTTGGATACACAATATTTTAAAAAGGAGAATCCAGCCAGGCGTGGTAGCGCACACCTGTCATCCCTGTGGCTCAGGAGGCTGAGGTAAGAGTTCAAAGCCAGCCTCAGCAATATCAAGGCATTAAGCAACTCAGTGGGATACTGTCTCTAAATAAAAGACAAAATAGGGCTGGGAATGTGGCTCAGTGGTTAAGTGACCCTGAGTTCAATCTCTAATACCAAAAAAAAAGGAGAATCCATTACAGCCCTCCAAAGACTCCACACCACTTACCTAGGCTAGCTCCTTTCAGTCTTTTTCCTGTGCAGTTAATCTTATCTTTATTTTTAGACTTTTCTATTTTTTGGTACTGGGAATTGAACCTAAAGTTTCTTAACCACTGAATCACATCCCTATCACATTTAAATTTTTTTTTTCATTTTGTAGTTGTAGATGGTCAGCATGCCTTTATTTTATTTGTTTATTTTTATGTGGTGCTGAGGATGG